AAGTACCCAGGGGAGGCCAAGCTATGAAGCAGGCAGGCTGCTGCTAGTGCCAGTTCTTGGGCCTCTTATTAGTAAGTATGGGGCATGCTGATGCCAGCTGATGCTTGGTTAAGAAATGTTAGCAAAATCTGAAGCCTGAGCAAGGACAGGCCATTCATACAGAAAAGCTTCTGCAAACAGCTTGGGTAGGGCTGCAAATTGGAACAGACTGAGTCTCAGGGAATCAACTTGAAGCTAAACTCAGATATGGCTGCCAGTCAACTCTGGGATGGGGGAGGTTCCAGCACAGGAACAATGACTCTTGTGAGCCCTCTGGTCTTAGAGAAAGCCACCCAACTGGAGTTCCTGCCCCAATGCCAGACAATCTAGTTCCTCCCTGTATGTCTCTGGATTTCCCCCAAAGCTGCTGCCCCAGTACTAGAGCCCAGAGAGAGCAATTCCAAGTAAGTTTGTGCACCAGCCCTTTAGGAGGAACTGCCTGGGTCTCCAGCAGCCTCCTTGTCACTCAGTCACAATCCCAGCTGGTTTTTACAACCTGAAGTTATGGGGCTTCTCTTCCCAGCTCTGGAACCCTGGGCTGGGGATCTGGTGTGGGAATGGGACCCCTTGCTCCTCATGGGAGGCTTCCACAGAGGAGATATCCCTCCCAATAAAAATAAAAATTAAAAAACACCATACATGAGTGTTGGACCAGCCATTCCGAACCTCTGCTCCTCCTACCAGTCTCAATGTACTTTCCTTTTTTACCTCTCTAGTTGTAGGACTTCCATTCAGCCAGATTACAGGCAGATCTGAATGATGGTTGTTCTGTATTTTGGTTATAACTTTGATGTGGTTATGGGAGACAGTGAGTACCAGTGTTACCTACATTGCCATCTTGGTTCCCCTTATGGCAGAAGCTTACTAACTGCCAGCTGGAGGTTCCCATCGAGATCAGGCAGTAGTCCTGGCATGAAGCTCTGCAAAAAGCTCCATGGGACCCTGGCATCCTAGCCCCAGTAGACAGGCCTCTCTTGGCATGGTGGCAGCTCCACTTCTGTGCAGCCCTCTCCTGGGCATTCACATTCTTCCACCAGAGCAGACTGCCTACTCTATGGGCCTGAGGTAAGTGGTCTTTTAAATCTGGTTTATGACTTCAAAGGTACTCTTTTCCCCTTTGAAACTCCACCTCCAGCACCAGTTCCACCATCCAGAAACTGATAGGAATACTGAGAGGAGGGGGTAACTTAAAACAAACCACTTCCTTGTTTTCTAAGTTGGTAGCTTCTAGGACCCTTGACACAAATACCAAAAAAGCCCCACAACAACCTAGAATTTGATTTGCAAGGCTGGAGAACTTCCTAAAGTAGTTGTTTTGTGTTTCATCCAGATGATCATGTTTGCCTTTACATTCCTATCTTCCCCATTTTGACCGATGCAGGCAGGAAGAGGAGAGGGAAGGACTGAGTCAGGAGTAGGAGGCTGCAAGGCCTGAGGGATGGTTCTTGAGGAGACATCCCATGGAGAGGGTCCAAAACAGTGCCCTGTAAAGCATCACCCTCTCCCATGCACATCATTATTGTCTTGTCACCTGGGCTACCTTCAAGGGAGGAGAATCACAGAAAGATCGTGATTCTTCTCTCAGTCCCTCAACCTCAATGTCTAACAGGTATGAGATGCAAAGGTGGATGGGTCCTATTTGGGGAATGGAGCAGTGAGAAGCTGGGAATCCAGGCAGAGCAGCGTAATGGTTGGAGCTAAAACTCCAGAGTCTGACTCCATCAGTTGTGACCCAGGACAAGTTACTTAACCTCTCCATGCCTCAGTTTTCCCATCTAAAGAACAGGGACAACCTAGTTTCTGATTACCGTGATTTCCAAATGAGCTAATTAATGCACATAAAATTCTCTGTGAGTGCATCTGACTTACAGTGAGCTCTGTATGTCATGGTCACCATTCTCAATTAGCTGTCCTTTTCAGACCTGTCAGCGGCTTTGGGCAAGAATACATGTAGTAGCCTCTAAAGGTGGCCAATCAGGTGTGGCAACCAAGGAGCTTCTAATCAGATCCTGTGTGTGGGAGGCCGGTATAAAGGGGGCATTCCAGGCCTGTGCTGCCCTCCACAGCCCCAGCCTGGCAAATGGGCACCTGAGGTGCAATCACAGGAAGCGCTTCCCAAGGCCACAAATCTAGAGTGAGGGTTCTCATGAGCTGAAAGTCCAGAGCCAGAATCCTGAGTACCACCACCAGGACACACATAGTCCTTGATTAGGATGGCTGCTAGGCCATGAACACTAACAGTTACAGCTTCTCGTCCCAGTCCCCAATCCCTCTACCATGCACTAAACAGAAAGATAACATCATTCACTACCTTCAAGACTCCTGCCCTAGAAGGCTCCATCATCAAATATCCTTCTTCCCCCGTATGCCCTCATCTTTCCTGAGTCCAGGTGCCTGGGGCTCCTGAACAAGCCATTCTCATTAACAAATAAGTGGAACCTCCAGATCCTCCAATTAGTCTCCCAGGCTGGCTAAGGCTGTGAGCTGCCCTGGGCAAGGCCTCGGAGCAGGGTATGCAATGCCCTTTCCCATCTAGAGACACCCTTTTTCCATCTAGACAACTCTCCCCCAGAATTCTTTGCACTGCTCTGAGTGCACTTTTCCTTCTTCTGCAGCTGGCAAGCTCCTATTCATCCTTCAGAGACCATATCAGATAGCCTAACCTCCTCAAATGAAACTAACAGCAACCTGGGAGGGGAGTAGGGAGACTGAGTGAAAAAAAAGTGAAGTGATTGAGAAGTACAGATTGGTAACCATTCAGATGTAAAGTACAGCATAGGAAATATCTATAATAATAAAAGCATAATATGCTAATTAGATCGATGTCCTCCCGGATGACCTTCTGGATGAAGGGTCCCGGGTGCCAGAGGGAAGCTGGTGCCAGCAGCTGCAGGAAGGAAGGCCTACTCTTGCATGAATTTCGTGCATCGGGCCTCTAGTAGTCAATAAATCTATATATATAAAAGCCTACTATTCAAAGTGTCCCCTTGGGAGTTTGATCGACCGGGATTTCGATTGCTTGTTATGATGTGCGCTGACCACCAGGGGGCAGTGTGGAACGAAGGAAGGCCCAAGCTGGCAGCTGCCAGGGACCCTACTCATGCACAAATGTTGTGCACTGGGCCTCTAGTGTTGTAATAACTATGTATGGTACCAGATGGAAATATAAGGGGAACACTCTGTTAAGTATGTGATTGTCTAACCATTATGCTGGATACCTAAAGCTAATACAAAATAATACTGACTATAAACTGTAATTGAAAAAAAAAACTAACAGCAACTCACCCCATGTTCCCACAGTTCTTTACACCAACACCCCCAAGGCCTGCATCCCAACAATATATTAGCCACCAGTCTGTGTCTCCATTCCCATGAGACACCACCCTGTCCCTCATGAACCTGTGCCCAGCACAGCACAGGCATCCAGAGTGCTCAAGGGAGCCTGTGAAATGTTGCCTTTAAGAGCCCCTCCTGTGGTGCTGCCCTGCACCTCTCTTTGCGTTCCTCCCACCCCAGGAGGGACAAAACAGCTCACACTCTGGGCAGCAGATGTCCTTTCCCCAATGATGCCTCACTTTAAAACCACAAGACTCCCTTCCCTCTTCCCTCCTAGCTCTGAGACCTCTCTTCCAGAACAGTTACTCCCAGTGGAGTCCCAGGCCCCAAGATAGCATAGCCTCAGGCCCAGGAGTGTCCTCCCCAAGTCAGACCCTGCCATAAACTTCAGATGGGTGGAGATGGAATGTGGAAAAACCACTCCTTCTGCAGCTCCCTTCTAGAAAAAGGCCAGCTGAGATGCCACTGAGGGAGGCTTGAGTTAGCAGATATGGCTTGGCAGGAAAGTCAGGCAGGATGGGCAGGCAAGCCTGATGGTGGAATGAGGCAGTTGCCTGAAAAGGTGGGGGCACTCATGCAGAGTTCCCATCCTACTCCTCAACCCCTTCCAGGCCCATCAGATGAAGGCCAATCCAATCCCAGAAGGCCCAGGCCCAAACCCAAACCCAAACCCAACTCTACAGAGGTTTTAACTGTGCTCCTCAAGGTGGTCCCCCTCTGTCCTACCACTAGCCCAGCACTGACTGCACATTACTGCTGGTGTGTGAATGAATAAATAAACCCCTGCCACCGCAGCCTCTTGGTTACTGAGGATTTCAGAGCTCTCCCAGTCTCCTGAGTCACTCAAACTGTTTTCTACCACCAGCCAGTATTTGCACATAATTTCACTCTGGCCTCACTGAGGCAGGTGTTGGGGAAAGTGCTATCGACCAGAGTCCAAGGTCTGCGTCTCTGTTTGGGTTCGGATCTGGGGCCGACCCATCCATTCTTGTTGCCTTTCTCTTCTCTGGGGTAGGACCCCGCGGCCCCCAGTCTAACCCACACCTGGCGGGGTGTCTGGAAGTCCTCACCCGATCTCCACTTTCTCCCCCTGCATTGTGGTGGGCTGAGGCCCCACAGACGGCTTCCAAACCCGAGGTTCACGTGGGGCGGAAAGGACAAAACCTCTCCCAACCCCCAGAAGGCCAGGGCCTCGCGGCAAAGGGACTGAACCATAGAGCCGCGCGAGTCCCCACTCTCCCGCCTCGGCTCCGTACGC